TCAGAAGAGGCAGAAGTGGATGTGAGAGACAGACACACACAGAGACACAGAGAGCGAAAGAGGGCAAGAGACTTGACTTTAAGAGACTCCTGCACTGACAACTCCATGCAGTTCGGAACAAGAACGGCAGCGACCGAGTCTGGTTTCATGGGGACATGGCAGAATACTGACACCAACCTCTTATTCAGAATGTCCCAACAGGTATGTTACTTTCGTTTATTTTAAAACATGGCATTTTTTTGTTTTATTTCACCTCCTTTTTCTCTTTCTTTCCATGTTTCATTTTTGTTTCATTCATCACTACATAGTTAGCCTCTGAACTGTCATAACTATGTCATTGGAATGTGCATGGTTACTTCATTTCTTCCCTAAGGGCTCCTTTTTAAAAGAAGAAAAAATATTAAAGCTTTAAGTAAAAGCAAAGCATTTGTTTTAAAGTTTCCAAATAGAGCTTTGCTCCTAGTAAGACTGTTTTTCTTTCTTTGTTTGCTTGTGTTTTGTTCCAGCCTTTCCCCCCTCGCTATCCCCCCCATCCCATAAATAAAAGTATCTGCTATCCCAGCAAAACTACTTTTTTTTTCTTCCTGAGTACATAAACCCCCAAATCAAACTGATACTAAATTTAGGGGGCCCCTCTCAACGGCATAATTTACTTAATGTGGCAGAACACAGTTTTATTGAGAGGGAAGGAGCGACGAGCTGTCCTACTGTAGCTACTGCCAGCATGGAGCTGAGGGTCGTTAGAGGAGACAGTTTCAGTCCTCGGGTCTCTTTTCTCCCGCTCCCTCTCCCAGCTTGCTCCCTGTCTCGCTCCCCCTCTCTTTGCGGAGCTGAGCCTTGGCGTCCTCCCCAGCGCTGCTCCTTCACCAGGGGCCGCGTTTAAGGCAGCTTGGTATGCGGGTTCTGACGGGAAAGCGAAAATGTTACTGCAAGGCCAGTTATAACTGATAATTAATCACAGGAGCCAGTGTCTCTGTACCATACGCTTGGTGATATGCACCGTGTGTATTACAGCTAATTTTGCACAATTGCTTGGCTCTTCTGGATGAAAGGAAAGGGAAAAGAGGGTGGAAAAAAAACGAAAAAAAAAAGGAAGGAAAAAATAGAGAGAAACTTTCAGCTTGGATGAGGCTCAAGCAGGGGAGGGAAGTTCAACCCGGAGGTTTTTAACAGGGTGACTCCCTACCAGGGGATGTTTTGCCCTTCTGAAAACTAGTTTCCAATTATGGTCTGACACTGATGGATAATAATTGAAATATTGTGTTAGCCAGAAAAGGAGTTAGTAAATTTGTATATTAATATTAGACTTTTATTTAATGTTAGACATAAGATGAATTAAGTAATTTACCTGAGAGGCGTTGTACAGTAAGAAAAGAGAGGGAAAGTAATTAGGTTTTTATAGTTACAGTAACAAGGAATGCTTGAATACTGGCCATAAAACAATAATTTAATTAAAAAATCCCCAACTTTAAAGTCAAGAAAAACTCCAAAGCAGATAGTTAATAACAAATAGCAGTTGTCTATGGATGACCATTTAAGCAGTATAGCTCAGGACAGGATGAAGGCATTTGAATAAGGAATATTTTGATATATCCTGTAGAGGGACCCTGATTACTGCTGATACAGTATGCTGGTATAGAATGTAATCAATGTAAGGCAAATAAGCAACCTTGTCCAATTTCCCATTCTTGAAAGTAAAAAAGTTCGTTTCCTTGTAGAGGTGCACATTTCAAAAACACTGCTTGGCACTCGGAAGTGTGAATTGCTATTGCACTGCTTACAAACATTATCAGCTGTACGCATGTCTGTGAAACATAACATATTTGGTTATATTGATATTAGACAATGGCACAGAAAGCAGTTATCCAAATTACCTGCTGTATTCTTTTAGCAAGAAATGGGGTTAAATTTTAGGGGTTGGGGAAAGGTTCTTTCCATTTCAGCCACAAAAGAGTTAACATAACTAGATCCAGATAACAATCAATTGATAAATGACAAATGAACCACATAAATAGTATTAGATTGCCTGTTTAGTATTAGATCTTTTTCAACAGATTTAGACTGTATGGTCTCTGAAAGACTAGAAAATGTTCGACACTGACAAAGAAAGGAAACAAAACTAAATAGAAGAGCATCACAATGTGTCAAATAATTTGAGACAACTAGCTTATTAAACCTAGCCAAACATTTATACACATAGGCTAGGCTGTTTGGTTGCTATTTTCCTTTTTAAATAATATTTTAATGTACTAATTCTTGAGTATTAATTGGATTTTTTACATTATTGAACATGCACGCTCATATTGTACACTATATAGAAAGCGAGAAGTAATGTACTAAGTGAATAAACGTGTGGTGGATGCTACATCAAGGTGAATTGGTATACACACAAGTAGCACTGCAAAGGTGATAACGTGGAACAGATTTATTTCTTAGAAGTGTGTTCTTGATGCATTTGCATACTTGTTAATATCCTTGTCATATTTTGTTTATTTATCATGTGCTAAACATATTTAGTCCAAATATGCTTTCATCATTCTTTTAAGAGGAGGGCAAGTTATTTTGCTAAATGCATTTCTCTCCTCTTTAAGTATAACATTTTGTCTTATGTTTCTGATTTGTTAAGGCTCTTATAACTTGCTAGCTCGCACATACTGTGTGCAAGTGCAGCTGCAAATTTGTATCTAATGGCCAGTGTTTCTTTATAAATCACTAAAGTCTTGAATATTGTTTTCTGTTATCTATTTTCATTCATTTACTAGTTAATTATTTTCAGTCCATGTTCTGGAAATGTAAGTATTTTTACAATTTCTCCTATGCTTTACAAAAAATTGTGTTCACGAGTACAAATAACATGAAGTTATGAAATGTGCATAATTTGCAGCAAAGTTTGGCATGGTTTGAAAGAACTGTTTAATGAAACTTTTCCAGCTATACGTAGTAATGCTAGAGACGTCTTTTTTAAATTTCTAAGTGTGATGCTGTTTTTCCATGTGTTTTTTAGAAGAAAACAAATTCTGATCCCCATCACTTTTCCTGGGAGCTCTAACTTAATCTCAGGAGGTTTTTAGTGGAAAGATTGAAGCATGGCAAGAAGAACTATTTAGAACAAAACAAAACCTTGCAATCTCTCCCTCCTCTTACCTCTCAACTCACACTGCACTGCTCTTTGCATAATATAGAAGTGAATAACTTTCCTCAGAATAAAAGGAAAATCAACTTCATTGTGACATGTGTCTTAGAAAAATTAGGATTAATTGTACAAGTTTGGGCTATTAATAGCAAGTATAATGGTACTTATTTGGGGACTATTTTCTTTTGAGAATGGGAACACAAGAAAATGGTATCTCCACATTCCAGAACAAATTTAGATTTTGGTGGGGTGAGAGGAGAAGCGAAATAGTCTCCCAAATTACCTGTGAGAATGGCCACTTGACTGCATTGTTTTACCTATGCACCTTTTGTCCATGTAAAAGTGTGTGATTCGCTTGAAAGGGGTCATCCCATTCTGTATACAGAAGAATGTCTGATAACCTCAAAGGGCATAAATCTTAGCTTTTAAAAAGGAGTGTTACTTTGGGTCACTTTGATCAGTGACAGGTCGAGAATGAGCAGAAACCCTTGGCTTCTCTTCCATGCTCATCTGGCTAAGTCCAGGGCACGCACTGCCCATTCTAGTTCTGGCAAGGAGTTGTTAACAACAGAAAAGAAGGTCTGGATTTGATTGATTAAAAAAAAAAAAGAAGCAGGCTTTTGTGATTGTTTGCTTTCATAAATGTTTTGTGTATTTATTAGAATAAGAAATGTCATTTTTCTTCATCTAGTTACCTTAAGGGCCGTAATGTTCTAAAATACTTTAAAGTCATTTCAGAAATGAGACCATAAGAGAAATGGCTGTAACCCACAGTGACACAAAATGCCAGAGCCATATGCCTTTTTGCTGAGAAAGAAGTATGTTTAATCTATTTCAGATAAAAAGGTAATAGCCTTTCCAGAAGCTATTTTCAACATGAGAGTGAAAAAGCAGTATACAGAATTATAAATGGATCTGTGCATCATTATATAGTAATTTAGGATTCACTCAATGATGTAACAAAATTAACAACATAATTTCATTGTGTAACTGTATCTTATTAAAGAACAACTGACTGACATTCTCTTACAGTTGCTTTATTTAACTTCATACAAATATTATTAGTAGTGACATTTCTCTATTGTACATTAGATTCTCTCATTAGCATGATGTGTTAGTTATCACCAGAGAAATCACTTCTAGATAGGTGAGCGAGAAGCCAAGAAAAGTAAAAATTAAATCAATGATGTATATTAATATAGACACATCTGTTCATGAGAGATATGGTACAGTAAATTCAACTTTTTTCCTTGCATAAATGCATGATTATTCCAAGGAAAACTAAATAATCTTTAAAATGCATGGAGTATGCATGAATATTGCTAGAAATACTAAACTGCATACAAAGCACACTGCCTGTTTTGAGCTGCACTTGTATTCTTCCATCTGATAGTTCCTAACATTGATGTAGACATAGGCACATAAACTGTTTATTGAACCAGTATTAAAAAAAATAGGAGCGTAGTGTAGTGTCTAATAGAGTGAAGGTGAAAGCTTTTTAAATGTTTCTGGGCTGCTGATTGTAGAGGTTCTATGAAATTTTAACATATATTAAGTAATTAACTGTTTTATTGTAATATATAACTATTCTTTTACTATGGGTGTAGATGTAAAAAGTTGAAACTTAATTTGGCAACGGGCTGTAATACCATACATTGATTTACTATGAACATTTTTGTGAGGAAGATTAACATTGGTAAAATGCATTTTGTAATTTAAGGTGGTTAACAATCACGTTTGTGACTAATCATCAGCAAACATAATATAACTATATATATTTTTATTACACCAATTTATAGAATAGCGGACACAGGTGGGGTGGGATTTTTTTGTTGTTGTTCATTAATAAGTTTATGTGGTAGTATGAATTTAGAAGCTTTATCAGGTTATGTTGTCTTATTTCAGATGCTTAAATTTTGTTGGGTATTTTGGTAAAGCATGGTTTAAATGTGTACTGGTCCTTTTAGCAAATTAAAAATATTTGCATCGAGATTTTTTTGCTGCTTCTGAGTTGCCTCAGAATAGAGGCATGGAAAATACTGTACATGACAAAAATGCAGGATGTATA